GGGGCCCACACAGGCCCAAGGACACGAACAATCTGCTTCAAAGTATTCCTACAAACCAGGGTGAAGGCCCAGGCAGCTCGGTTTAATTCGCGTACAACACTTCGAGAACACGACCCGTCGACGAATATGTCGCCCTCGAAGGCGTATGACTCCAGGTCCGCGGGCCCCCCTTCCAGCCATTGAACCTCGACTCCTCCAGAACACTTGGCGCCTGGAGAGGTATCCCCAGGGTGCGGAAAGATCCCGTAGCACGCCAAGAGATCATCCGACTCCGAAGCCCATTTCTGCACTTTGTCCGTGACGCACTCGTCCCGAATGTCGGACACACTCGGGCACAGCCACAACCGATGCCTTAGCGTGTCAACTGCGCCACCGCACAGTGGGCAGCTCGTAGACGGCAATATATAACCTAAGCTGGCGGCACGGTCTCGAGTATAAATGGCCTGGCAGGTGAGCGCACGCATACAGCCTTTCTCGAAAGGCGAGTATCTGGCGGAGTTCAGATACGCAAACGCTCCGTCGACACAAGCCCGACCATCCAAGTTGAACCTAGCTCCCAAGTCCCACTCGAGAGTCCTACGGACCGCGGCCCTGAGAAGGTTTTTAACCAGCCTAGGGGAGAACTCAGTGAGAACAACCTTAAGCCCAGTGTCCGTGACCAAAGTGGCGAAGCTGGGCATGCTCCACGAGATCCTCTCCAGAGACTTCCTAAGGGCACTGACAGGGCCCCCAACACTCCTCCACAGTGGGCTTTCACGAGAAAAAACAGAGGTCCACGCCTCATTCATTTCGGGGAGCGTCAGAGCGTGACGGTAGAGGCCCAGATGGGAGGTCCACAACTCTTTCGACCACCTCACAATAGGCGACACGGCAGAGTACCACGTCGGGTCTTGATGAGCCAACAACAAGGTAGTGAGGCTTCGGCCCTTGGCCGAAGGCTGCAGCACAGAGCCAGCGAGCTTCCTAATCTGCCAGAGTTCGTGATCTGACACCCCGTAGACCTCGGAGCCATACAGGGTGGAGCTGAGAGCCCCCGAGGCCCACACGGCTTTCGAGACCCTAACCCCGACGGTGGGACGGATCCGCGCCAGCCTCTTCGTGAACGCCCGCGCCTTAATCTCCCTGACTTTTTGCTTGCTAGAGCGCCCCTTGAGGCGCCTAGGGCGGCCGACCGCGTCGTCCACTCCCAGATTAGCAGAGGCCGCGACCACCGGTCCAGCCAGCCCGCCGAGTCTCCGACCGAGCTGCAGGGCCAACTTGCGCGAGGAACAGATCAGCGATCGCTTCCCTTCCTCCCGATTGACTATGGCCCCGACCCCTTCCTCAAACACACTGATGAGGCGCTCCGCGCTCGGCGGCAAGTTCTTCAAAATATGCTCTGACGTGCCAGTGCACGATAAACCCGAGTCGTCGATGTACAACTTGAAATGAACCTGCGACGGCAACGAGACCAGATCAAGCGCCTGGATAGAATAAACTCGGATCAGTGTCGTCGCGAAGGGACAGCCAGCAACGATCCCACGACGGGCCCAGTAGGGCCCGTCCACAAAGCCCGAGAGCCCGAAGAACCGAGGCTGAAGGTACGGGGGAGGGGGAGGAGGAGGAGGAGGAGGAGGAGGAGGAGGAGGAGGAGGCGGAGGCGGAGGAGGAGGAGGAGGAGGAGGAGGGAAAGGAGGAGGGGAAGGAGGAGGAGGAGGAGGAGGAGGAGGGGTGGAAGGGAGGAGGAATGAGGGGTGAGGAAAGAGGAGAGAGCGGAGGAGGAGGAGGAGGAGGAAGAGGAGGAGGTGAAGGAGGAGGAGGAGGAGGCGGAGGAGGAGGAGGAGGACAAGCGCACGGTTTGTGGGGTGCTTCGAGTCGAATCGGAATCGGCTCGCAGCGGCGGTTGGAATGCGCAATGGCATCCGCCATCAAATCAGTGAGAAATCCGCCTGCCCTCAGGGGGTCTTTCACGCCTCACCAAACAAGACCAGAGAAGCGCCAGAGGTGGCTCGTCTACCTGATCGCAGAATCAGAGCATTCGCAAAGGCATACTCTGTCAATATGATTGCAGCCTGCGGCCTGCGACCTTCGCACAGACAACACACTTTCAGCTCCATCGATCGAGGAGCCAGGCACGTGCGGCGGCCAGAGGAACGGGCCGCCTTCATTCACCGTCGGTCAACTCAGCCTGAATCACGTCACGCTTGAGCTTGAACTTTATGTTGGACGGAATTGTCAAACGCATGGTTGAGACATTCACACCGCATATACATCCACCCAGCAACTTCCTGTGGGACTTTATCATGCCACTGGGGTCTCGAAGATACTGTCGGTAGCGCCTCTCGATGGCGCAGTTGTCCTGGTTCTGGTGGTGGAGCTCCACCCACTTGCCAGCGGGCTTCTTGTAGGACCAGGCGGGAACCATGACCATATCTTGTCCCCCATCAGCGTCTCGAGGCAGGTCTGCCTTTTGACTTTCATGGCCGCAGGCGTTGCGGTCATCTTCACCTTTGGGATCAGGCCCTTGCTGCCCGGGGAGATGCCAAACACCTTCTTGAATTTGGCCGTCTTGATCGGCGGCGGCTGCGGCTTTAGGACCTCCGTGATCTTCGCCACAGTCAGGTCGGCCGCCGTCTTCGTGATCAACTCGTAGGCAGAGATCATCGCGTACGGATTGCCTGTGTACGCCTGCCTGCACAGAGGAGTCCTCGGGCGACGTGGCTAACTGCATGTCCACATCCTCTACATACTTCTCGGTCGGGCGAACTACCGTCGCAGCAACAGGCACGGCTCCCGCGTCCTCTCCAACAGCAGCCTTCGGGAAGGGGCCGTCGTACGAGGTGGGCGGGCGGGCGCCAGGAGCCAGCGCAGCCAGCACCTCGTCCGCCTGCAGGTCCACGATGGTCGTGCTCGTGGATGTCTTGACTGTGGCATCCGCCGACTGCGGTCACAGCGCAAGGAACTCCGCTATGGCGAGTTTTTGGTCTTGGGGCGGGAGGGCCCGCGTGAACGAGAGCTGCGGGTGTAGTTCGAGCACTTTCTCGAAATTGCAGTGTTCGCTGGTGTCGGAAGCCTTCCTGGTGGCTGTCTCCACGGTAGCGTCTAACTCAGCATTGTCGCCGCATCAGTAGCTGAACTCCCAGTGATACGCCTCGCTGATGTCGAGGCCGGGGGGGTGCGCCAGCCGCCAGGAGGCCAGCCACGCTGCAGCTGGCTTGCTGGAACTTTCGCGCATGGGTGGCGCGGGCTCGTGCTCGGCGGGCGGCGCTGCCAGATGTCTTAAGAGGGGCCACACTCCGTCGGGCGGCGCACGAGACATCACGCATTCGGAGGCACTGCTGCCTGCGCCTGGGGCGGACCAGGCGGGGCGGGGGGAAGCGCGGGTTAGAGCCCTAAACCCCTGGCCCTGACCAGAGGCGCAGTTGCGCTGTGTGACCCCGGGCAGCGGAGGGGGGCGCCGCACGGGGTCCCCCTAGAGGCCGCGGTCTTAAGGCAAAAATGGCTACGAAGGAGTGCAGAGAGGAAAAGGAGGAGGCCGGAGAGGCGGAGGAGGAGGGAGGAGTGCGGAGGAGGAGGCGAATAGAGGCGAGGCGGAGAAGGAGGAGGAGGAGGAGGGGGGAGAAAGGCAGGATGTGGAGGGGGAGGAGGAGAGGAGGGAGGAGGAGTGGGCGGAGGAGGAGGAGGAGGAGGAGGAGGAGGAGGAGGAGGCAGCAGGAGCAGGAGGGAACGGAGAAGGAGAGGATGAGGAGAGGAGGAGGAGGAGGCCGAGAGGAGGAGGAGGAGGAGGGGGGAAGAGTAGTGGGAGGAGGAAGGAGGAGAGAGGAGGGAGGGAGGATTGGGAGGAGGTAGGAGAGGAGGAGGAGGAGGCGGAGGAGGAGGAGGAATGGAGCAGTAGGAGGAGGAGGAGGAGTAGGAGGAGGATGAGGAGCAGGAACAGGAGCAGGGAGGAGGAGCATGGAGGAGGCGGAGTAGGAGGCGGAGCGGAAGGCGCGGAGGAGAGGAGGGGAAGGAGGAGGAGGAAGGAGTGAGGAGGAGGAGCAGGAGCAGAGGAGGAGGAGAGGAGGAGCAGAAGGATGAGGAGTAGCCAGGAGCAGGAGGGGGAGGAGGAGTGAGGGGGAGGAGGAGGAGGAGGAGGCGGAGGAGGAGAGAGGAGGAGAGGAGGAGGAGGAGGAGGAGGGGGAGGAGAAGGAGAAGGAGGAGGAGAAGGAGGAGGAGAAGGAGGAGGAGGCGGAGGAGGAGGACGGGTCGCCCACGCCCTTCGGAGAAACCTTCCACCTGGGACCCTGGATCGGCGCCAGTGCCTCTCCCTGGCCAGCCCCAGGGAGGGCGGGCGCACCGATCGGGGGGCCCGGGGCGGGCCCCGGCAGGGAGTAGTGGGGTGGCCAGCAGACGCCCCCCGAATCGAGGGAGAAAAAACGGGATAAATTGGCGGCCTGCACAAAGGGGGGTGGGGGGAGGGGGGAGGGTTTCTTAGAGGCACCCTGCTTCTTAGAAGGCGCTGGCCTTCTGTTGCTCCCATCGTACTTAAAGATCACATCCCAGAAATAATTTCGAGCACCCGGAAAAAGTGTCGAAAGAGTGTCGAAACAGTGTCGGACGAGTGTCTCCCAGGGCCCGACACGTGAAAACCCTCGAGTTTGCGGTGCTTTTTCTGGTGCTCGAAATTATGGTGATCAAGGCTGAAGTAGGTTGGAACATCATGACGCTGGCCCTGCATCTACAGATAAGGCCCGCGCCCTCTAAGAAGCAGGGGTGCTTTTAAGAAGCCCTCCCCCCTCCCCCCACCCCCCCCTGTGCGTGGCCGAATAAACAGAGACTCTCTTGGAGGTCAGCGCGGCTGGGCTGCAACTCCCTCCCTGCGCGCGGAGCGCGCCGGAGCTGCGCCGGAGGCGCCGCCAGGGGGGCCCAGCGCGGATCCAAGATATCCGCGTGGAGCGACAAAAGTTGATGTTCATGCAGTTTTCTCTCCTTCCACCGAGGGAGGCCGAGGCGAGCGGCGCCCCCTCCGCCCCCTTCCCCACACGAGTGCTCGTCGGCGCTCACGGCCCGCATCCGCGCCGCATCGGCGGACGCGAGCGGGCTCTGCGGGCTCTCGGCCCGCATGTGCCCGCCGCCACCGCCGCCGTCGCCACCGCCGCCCTGCAGCGGTCCTGCCGGGGGGGGGGGGGGCCTCCCTCGTGGGGGGCGGAAGGGACGACGACCGTCCTTGACTCCCCCAGCAACGCGCTCGCACTCGACGCTGACGCCGCCTGCCTCGTGCTGGTGCTCCCGTGGCCCGGCTGGTGAAGGGGCGCGGCAGGTCGAGGCCCTGTTCCCGTGACCACACCGTGTACACCTTACGGGCTACGATTATCATCTGCTCGAATACGTTCATGCCACTCTCTTGCTGCTGGTGCGCGTGCTGAAGTCACGATACGAGCGAAAAGAAAAAAATCCCGCACCGAACCGGGCCGCGGGCTGCGGCCCTTTGCTTTTGTTTGTGAAGTTCGCCTCCTGGCGAAGCATCAAGTAGGTGAACGAGGCGCATCGAACCCACCATGCTTCCATGGGCCCCTTCCATGTGGCAAGGATCGGCAAGACACAACAATCTCGCCCTCCCCCCTTCCCCAGCCCCTCACCTCCCCCTGAGGGCCCGTCCCTCCCAGCCACCGGAAGATTGGGGCGAAGGCGCTCGGCTGCGCAACTCCACAAAGACCACCCAAAGAGGGTGTTTGCACTTACGGGCTCTTCCCCGCTGTTCCATATAGGAAAACGAAGAATGACTTAAACATAAGAACTCGGTTGTCCGCGCGGATTTCTTGGATCCGAGAAATCCGCGCGGACCTCCGAACTTGCATTTTTGTGCCATGAGTCGTTCCCCTATGATGTTCAATTGAGGGATGAAAAACGCTGCTACCCTGGGTTGCAAATGCATGGTCTGTAAACCTCCCGGAGCTCCCAAAGGCCAGAGAGCCGCCAGGACGCAGCGCGACACGCGCGATACGCAGGGTTTACCCTGTCAGCCAACAGAAGGTTCAGCGCACAGCGCCTCGTAAACCAGGGCAGGGGCGTTCCTTACGCCCTTGACTCAAGGACGTGGACCTCCGGGCTTTCCTCGCCCTTGGCCGCCCGCGGCGGCCTCGCCACCGCCTCGTCGCCGCCTCGTGCGCTGGTTGCGTTTCCGCGCTCCCGCCCCTCGGCCGCCCCTGGCCGCCCCCCTTGCCGCCGCCCTGGGGCCCCAAGACGCGTGAGGGGTGTGCCGGAAAAAGGAGCGGGGCCGCCATGCGGGCCCTGCCGCTGGTGCCTCTGGTGGAGCTCCTCGTGGGGCCACGAGGATGGGAGGAGGTGGAGGGAGGGAGGGAGGGAGGGAGGGGGGTAGGGTAAGGGGGGAGGGAAGGGAGGGAGGGAAGGGGCGGGAGGGAGGGGAGGGAGGTAGGAGGGAGAGGAGGGAGGGAGGGATGGAGGTAGGGAGGAGGGAGGGTGAGGAGGATGAGGAGGAGGAGTAGGGAGGGGAGAGGAGGGGGAGGAGGAGGAGGAGGAGGAGGAGGGGGGGCACAGGAATGGGCGGAGGTGGAGCAGGAGGAGGAGGAGGAGGAGGAGGAGGAAAAGCAGAAGGAGGAGAAGCAGCAGGAGGACTTTCCGCAGGACTTTCCCAACCTGGCGACCTCAGGGCGGCAGGAGGACGTCCGAGAGTGGCCTCCGGGTGGAGCGCCTATGCTGGCAGGAGCTTGGCTCCCCAGCCCTGCCTCACGGGGGCCCGCAGGTGTCCGCTAGTCGGGGCCAGGGAGCGGAAGGGCACACCAGTTTGGCACCCCCGCCGCACACCTTCCTGCAGCGAGCGGCCGTTCGTGACACGTGAAAGGACCCACGCTCCCATCTTGGGTGGTGGGTCTCCGTCTCTGCATCTGCATTCCGGAACAAGGCCCCCTAAATGGCCTCAACCTTCCAACGCACGGCTTCAGCAGAACGCACACATCCAATACGGTTCATAAAAAACGGATCTGGTGTGACGGGTGGGCTCTCGTCGTGGGCCAGGGCAGTCGCGTGACAGCCACCTGTTTGCTTCACACTTCTTTTTGCTGACGGAGCTCCTACACTCTAGACAACTCCAACGGGTCTTCCAAAGGCGCGGGGCATGATTAGAAGTCACCTGGGCCTGGGCAGGCACATCGGGGCAGGACCTCCTGACAGCCCTGTTCACCCGGGGCGGCTGAGGGGCCCCTGGCCTCCGAGACAGAAGCATTCATACTAGCGCGAGTGGTATGAGCTCTCACCTTGGCGGCAGTGGCGATGGCTCACTGATAGCAACCGAGCTGAGCAGGAGGGGTCTGATGACTCTCGGCTCCTCTTTCCTCGCAGATTCATCGGCGGCTTCGCCACCGCACCACACACACGGAACAGGATTCCTTTCCTCTCAGCCTCGTGCATCGTCATGTGGATGTTGAGCCAGCGCACCTCGACGCTGCCGTCAAGGAGGAGGAGGAGGAGGAAGAGGAGGAAGAGGAGGAGGAGGAGAAGGAGGGAGGAGGAGGCGGGAGGAAGGAGGCGGGAGGAGAACGCGGGCGCTGTCTCTTCAAAAAGAAGACCCAACACCACAGGATGGTTGGGAAAAACACAAAGTGCACCGGAGGGAGGGGATCAACAATAAGTATTCTTCAGGAACGAGGGCTCAACAACAAAGCACAAACATGCTTTCTCGGAGATCCGAGCAGGTTTACTGGATCGGCGCTCGACCCCTTTCCCTGGTGCGCTCCGCGCGCCAGGGGCGGCGCTGGTGGCACCGCCAGGGGGCCCAGCGCCTATCCAAGAAATCCGCGCAGACCTCCGAAGGTTGTGAGTATGCCGCTTTTTGCTCTTCGACTGTCCTCCTCTGAAAAACCTCCGAACAACTGCATCGCGAGGCGCAAACAACATCCGAGAACTTCCGACAGAGTACGCGCCGATGCTTTGGCGAAGCATCACCGAGGCATCGCCAGTGCATCGGCGATGCACCGCTGACGTCGCCGATGCATCGGCGACGTCGGCGTGGGCGACGCTGGCGTGGAGAACTCCCCTCTGGCCTCGGGGGCGGCCAAGAGGGAGGTGTCCAACAGGCGGGGGCGCAAATAATGGCCGGCGGCATGTGCGCGGCCCAGGGGGGGGCTAGGGACCCATTACAATAAGAAGAGGCGCCATGAAATCTAGGGAGATCTCATGGCCCCCGCCATAGCATCCACCCTAGAGGCCTCCTAGATGGGGTCCGAGTAGATGGGGTCGGAGGATCGCGCCGCATGGCCAATACATCGGCGATGCATCGTCAATGCATCGGCGATGCATCGGCGACGCAACGGCGACGCATTGTTGACGTCGGCGATGCATCGGCGACGTCGAAGTGAAGCAAATCGGGCTCCGCATCGAGCCGCATCACCGATGTTTCTGGGAGGCCTGCAAATGGGCACCATCACCAATTCAGGGGGTTGCCTCCACAGGGGGAAGATGATCCTAGATTGCGGTGTTGGTGGTAATATTTCGGCCACCTTGAGGCCAGAATATTACCACCATCACCGAGATCGGGAGCTTATTCCCTCGGTAGAGGCACACCGCCGATATTGGTGTTGGTGTCTACCTCTAGGCCTGCGAGTTTCGGCGATGCGGCGCGATCCTCCGACCCCATCTACAGTCAACCCGCATAGGAAGGATGGACCACCTTCCCAAGGGTACTCTTGCGTCCCTGCCTCCTCGGTCCATCCTCGGCCACTTCCGTTGGCCGCGCCCCGGTCGGGAAGCTTCGAAATGGGTTCCCAAGGCCCTTGCATCCTTCTCGCGCATCCTTACTATACGGGTTGACTGTACTCCGACCCCATCTGGGAAGTAGATCCCCCCCCAGTCATCACCCCCCTCTTTGCCGCCCCCGACCCTCGGGCCGGGCGAAAGGGCAGGGTAGAGAATCAGCTCACGTAGCTGATTTTTCCAGAGCCCCCTGGCGCCTGGAGGCGCCCATGTATCGAGGAATGGGCCCGGCGGCAGGGCCGAAACCAGCTATATGCAGCAAATTTCGCACCCCCCCCTTTCCCAATCCCCCCCTTTCGTCCGGCCCGAGACCCCCGTGGTCGGAAGCCCTGTTGGGGGAGGGCGCCGGGCCGGGCCGCGAGCGCTCCTGCAGAGCCTTCCGCCGCCGCCGCCGTGGCCCCACGCCCCACGCGCCGCGCGCCCGGCCCGCGCGAGGACCCGGCGGGCGCCGCGTGCCGCTCGAGGGGGAGTGCGCGCGAGGGCGGCCGTGGTACTTTCTCCTCCGCCTCCTCCTCCTCCTCCTCCTCCTCCCCCTCCTCCTCCTCCTCCGTATCCTCCTCCTCATCCTCCTGCTCCTTCTCATCCTCCTCCTCCTCCGCCTCCTCCTCCGCCGAACCATCCATCCATCCATCCATCCATCCATCCAGCATATCCTCATCCTCATCCTCATCCTCACCTCATCACTCAAGCCTCTCCTCATCTCATCCTCATGCATCATCATCACATCATCATCATCATCATCATCATCATCATCATGCAATCAGCATCATCATCGACTCATCATCATCATCCTCATCCCTCATCCTCCATCCTCATTCCTCATCCTCATCCCTCCTCATCACATCCAGCAGCAGCATCTCATCAGCATCATCAGCAGCATCAGCATCATCAGCATCAGCATCAGCATCATCATCATCATCATCATCATCATCATCATCATCATCATCATCATCATCATCATCATCATCATCATCATCACCATCAGCATCAGCATCAGCATCAGCATAAGCATCATCATCATCATCATCATCATCGTCGTCATCATCATCATCAGCAGCAGCATCATCATCATACTCAGCACCAGCATCATCATCATCATCAGCAGCATCATCATCGTCATCATCATCATTAGCATCATCATCAGTATCATAATAAGCATCAGCAACCATAATCAGCAACCGCAGCATCATCATCGTCAGCATCCTCAGCATCATCATCATCATCATCATCATCATCATCATCATCATCATCATCATCATCATCATCATGATCAGCATCATTGTAATCGTCATCATCATCATCAGCACCAGCATTAGCATCAGCATCGTCGTCAACATCACCATCAGCATCATCATCATCGGCAGCAGCAGCATCTTCAACATCATCATCATCCTCATCCTCACCCTCATCCCGATCCTCATCCTCATCCTCATCCTCCTCATCATCAACAATAGAAAAACATCACCAGCAGCAGCATCAGCATCACCATCATCCTCAGCATTAGCATTATCATCATCATAATCCTCATCCTCATCATCATCATCACCACCAGCATCATCATCAGTATCAGCATCATCAGCAGCATCAGTATCAGCATCATCATCAGCAGCATCAGTATCATCACCTTCACTACCACCACCACAACCATCGTCATCACCAACAACACAATCATCATCAGCAGCATCATCAACAGCAGCATAATCGTCATCATCAACAATCGCAGCATCAGCATCATCATAATCTTCATCATCATCATCCATCATTATCAACATATCACCAATATTGTCAGCATCGTCGTCGTCATTATCATCATAATTATCATCATCATCCTCATCATCAGCGTCATCACCAGTATGATCATCATGATCAGCAGAATCATCATCAGAAGCAGCATCTGCATCAGCGTCAGCATCATCGTCACCATTAGCATCATCAGTAGCATCAGCATCATCAGCAGCATGATCATCTTCATCAGCAACATCATCATCATCATCCTCATCATCATCCCAGTTTCTCCTCCTCGTCATCCACTATCATCATCCTCCTCCCCCCTTTTCCTACTATCCTCCTCGTTCTCATCCTCCACCTCTTCCTCCTCCACTTCCTCGTCCCGGCTGCCACGGCCATTGGCTGTGGCACTCGCCCAGCAAGTGTTTTCTTGACCAGCGCTACTTTGGAGAGGGGAAGGAGGAGGATGAGGAGGGGGAGGAGGCCTGGTCTGGGATCTGGGCTTGCATTGTGCACCACCGCTTTGAATGCCAGACAACGTGCGGTTCCCAGCTTTTCCCCTCCTTCCCCCCCTCCCCCTCCTCCTCCTCCTCCTCCTTCTCCTCCTCCTACTCCTTCTCCTCCTACTCCTCATCCTCCTCCTCCTCCTGCACCTCCTCCTCCTCCTCCTTTTCCTCCTCCTCCGCCTCCACATCCGCCTCCTCCTCCTCCTCCTCGTCCTCCTCCTATGTCATCGTGTTCGTCTGAGTTTGTGTGTTTTTGCTCGGTCTCCACGGAAGATATGTTGCCGAATACTGGGAGGCTCTGAACAGCGGGATCGATGCAGGAATTATGGCGTGCGCTCGCAGAACGAGCTTGGTTCGCTTCATGGTTCGTTTCTGGCGTTGCCAGTCGGATTTGTAGATGGATTGTCTGGTTGTTGCGCGGTGTCCGTCTCTCGTTCCCTCTTACCCTCTCGTCGCCGTCGTCATCTTCCTTGTCGAGGGGAAGAAAAAAACGGAATAAGCATAGACTTGTGGAGGTTCGCGCGGATTTCTTGGATCTGAGTTGGACCCCCCTCTCCCTGGCGCGCGGAGCGCGCCAGGGGCAGCGCAGGAGGCGCCGCCGGGCGGGTCCCAGCGCGGATCCAAGAAATCCGCGCGGAGCGCCAAAAGTTCATATGTATGGCGCTTTGCTACTTCGATTCTCCGCCTCCCCTCATGACGCTCTCCTCGCATCCCGTTTATGCTGATGGCGTTGTTCTTCTTCGATTCTCCCGCACTCGTGGCCCTCCTCTCGTCCTCCCCTCATTGCCTCCCCTCGGCGTTGGTTGGTGCCGCCAAGTGCTCCGCGCCAGGCTCTCGCCCAGGGGGTGCGAGCTCAGCCCTCACCCTCGTGGATGACCAGACCGAACCTCCTCATCCCCACTCTCTGGCCTTTGCGATCCAGTCCAACTGATACTCCTTCTCTCATTCCCCCTCCTCCCCCTCATTGCCCTTCCTCCTTACTCGTTCCTCCTCCTCCCCCTCCACCTCCTCCTCCTACTCATCATCACCGTCATCATCATCATCATCATCATCATCATCATCATCATCATCATCATCATCATCATCATCATCATCATCATCATCATCGTCATCATCATCATCATAATAATCATCATCATCATCAGCATCAGCATCATCATCATCATCAGCATCATCAGCATCATCATCATCATCATCATCAGCAGCATCAGCATCATCATCATCAGCATCAGCATCATCATCACATCATCACATCATCATCAGCATCAGCAAGCATCATCAATCACATCACAGCAGCAGCATCACCATCAGCCACATCAGCAATCATCATCATGCCCATCAAATCGTCATCCTCATCAGTGATCGATCTTCATCGTCGTAATCATATCATCATCTTCATCAGCAAACATCATCATCGGTCGTAATTCCTACATCATCATCATCCATCATCATCATCATCATCATCATCAGCATCATCATCGTCATCATCATCATCATCTCTCACCATCATCATCATCATCTCATCATCATCATCATCGCTCGATCATCAACATCATCATCATCCATCATCAACCTCATCATCGTCCCATCGTCATCGTCATCATCATCATCCAAACAAGCAAAAACACAAAAACAAAACAACCCATCAAAAAAGGCATCATCATCCGCATCACCGTCATCATCAGCATCAGCATCATGATCATCATCATCAGCATCATCATCGTGATCATCAGCAGCATCATCAGCATCATCATCGTCAACATCAGCATCAACATCAGTATCATCATCATCGTCATCATCAATATCATTTCCACCATCAAGCAGCAGCAGCAGCAGCCACAGCGGCCTCCTCCATCCCTTTCCTCACAAATGGCTCCTCTCCTGTCGCACCCCCAGACGTGTCGCTAGAGCCGGCCGGCCGCTGCGCCGGGCCTCCCCGAGCTTGAGACTTGCAACCGCTTCATGGACGTACGGTGAAGGGAAACAATTCATGGACACTACCCCTTGCCCCCGAATTCAAAGTTGGCACGCGCGGAGGAGACTGCGGTCGAAGTGCAACTCATCAGACCCACCGCCAGCTCTGAACGTCGGGGGGAGGGGGAGGCGCTGACCGATCAATGTGTCATGAATGGTCGCAACATTTTTCCGAGGCATCTAGGGCGGGGGATGTTCAAAATGAGGCTCTCACCTCTGCGCCGCGAACATTCGTCTTAACAGAAGTTCGCAGCACGCTTCGGGATGGATGGCGGGTCGTTTTCAAAACGAGGTTCTCGCCTTACCAACGCGCACAGTTGTTTGGAAAGCCTGCAGCAGCTTCAAGGATGGAGGGCGGTTCCTTTGCAAAATGTGACTCTGGCCTCAGCGCCGCGCACAGTGGTTTCATTGAAAGCTTACAGCAGTTCGAAGGGATCGTGGGGTTGAAACGATGTAGGATTGTAAGGGCACAGGGGTCACTTGGATCCGCTGTGCTGAAGCTTCAGGAATGGCGTTCTGGCACGATTCACAATTGTCAAAGCGCGAAGGTCACGTTAATTCGTAGCGCTGCAGTCCCAGAAATTTCATTTGGGTACGATTTAGAAGTCTCAGACGGTTGATATTCCATGAAAGGAAGTGTGGAACCTATCAGGAGGGAACTTGGAGGCAAGATGTGTTGCACCATCGTGGATGCGTATTGGGTTTTCGCTGGTCCTCATCCGTATCCTCCTGCTTCCACTCCACTCACATCTTCAAGAGAAGGCCCCACATGAACTACTTTTCCCCCGCCGCTTCCCCTCCGACGCTCCTACGGCACTTCCCTCCTGAATCGTTCCCCAGACCAGACCTCTATGCCGGTGTCACACGTCCAATGTTACTTCCGGCAATCAACTGCAGAAACTGCACACATGGCGAAGCACGGCGAAGACAAAGAGTATATGCACAGAGGCGAACGGGAAAATGCAGCAACAGCCTCGCGCCCTGCCTGCTTCCAGCCGGTTGACTCATGATCACAAAGAAAGATGCGGCAGCGGCAGAGAACTTAAACGACACACACTGGTCGTCAGCCATTACCAAAGTCACGCAGAACTCGTCCAGCGGAGTTGTGACCTTCCAACCGCGCGCTCCCAATCGCAGAACCGCTCCCACCGCGAGAACATACCGGTCGATTCCGAAACTCTAGTTGAACTGCGGTTGCACGGCGTCCAGAGACCCTGCGAACACAACCCCCATTCTTAGCGTTCCACAGTACAAGA